GGGAACCCTTTAACCCCTGAAAGTGACCAGCATCTAATTTCTCCTTACAATATCACCCCTAAATAATAATAATAATAATAATAATAAGCATTTATATTGCGCTAAGTCGACTACTTCATAGCGCTTTACAATATCTACTATATGATTAAAAAAAACACAAATTAATTAAAAATACAAATTAATTTAAAAAGGAAATTAAGGTACAAATTATTGTTAGCTAAAGGCTAGTTTAAACAAAATAAGTCTTCAATCACAAAACAAGGTTACAAGAATAATAGAAATGATCAACAACTGAAGAAGCTCTTGATTGTTCAGTAAATTCTCCTTGTCAACACCATAGGAAATGCATGGAGAACAGTGTAGAGAAAATGCATGCTGATATTAGGGTGTAAAAGGCTAAGTCTGCACTGGACCCAAGTGGCCCACAAGGCACTGTAGCTTTATTCCACTTGTAGTAGCATGAAGCATGCTACTACAAGTGAGAGTATTGCTATTCCCTCCCCCACCCCTGAATGAGATGCCAGTCTATTCCAGCTTACGCCAAATTTTGTCTGGTTTCCCTAATAGTTCACCAGTACCCATTTATACTCATTGGGCTGAGAGGCCCTCCCTGAAAGTAAAGTGCCTTGCAGGAGATCACTGCACGGTGACCCCCAGCAGGGACTAAAAAACACTGGCCTTACAAATGTAGGGTCCTGCATGCTACACGTAGGACGTTTTTAGCATGAGCCTCTGGCTCGGAAGCGTTTTTAACATGAGCCTCTGGCTCGGAAAATTACACAAGCACTTCCCACTTTTTCGACATTACATAAATCACTACATTACATTACATTACAGAGCAGAGCCACATCTCCATTTTTAAAGGAACTTGAGTGAGGCTAACCTCTTTTCGATTTGCTCGCTCTCTTCATTTCTTCATCAGCAGCCAAAACCAGCCTATCTTTAAGAAATTCTCCTGCTGCCTTTGCCACATTCCGACTTGTGCAGAACACAAGGAACTCCACCTGCTGACATTCTTCCTCCTCCAGTTTGTCATTCCTACAACAAGGTGACAAATACTGGTCGTCAAAGCAGTGTAAAGTATTTTCCTACCATGGACACTTTTACTTTTAAAACTTACATAAGAAGAAGGTTAACCAGCTTGACTGCCTCCACAGCCACTTCATTTTCTTTGTCCAAGGTCATGGCTACAAGCCTTTCCTGGGATATAAATAAAAAAACACATTGTTTTGATGACTTCAATATTCACGGAATGACTTAATATCATCATGTCCATTTGTTTTTTTAAAGAATATAATATCTCGAAAGAGATTATTGCTCATTGTGGTGTTCAGTAACTGTTCAATCATTTGCCTCACACTGAAGTCACTTGGGAAGTGGATTGTGGTGTTTCAAACTGCTTACTGCTAGTCTTGATCGGTTGATGGGGTCGACTGCTTACATGTTACCACTTGTATCACTGCAATCTCAAGAGATTGGCATATTTTGATCCCCATTGTTTATCATTAAGAATATAATAATTCTGGTAATTCTGAAAATGGTTATTTATGCAAATACCTTAAATCTCTCAGTCAAGGGCTCCAGTTGAGAAAGAAAGTCGTCAACCTCGTAAAGGCCTCTCAATGAATTGATGGCCTTCTGGCGCACCTCTCCAATCTAACAGATATAATGCATAATATTATTCAAATCAATTGTTAAAATAAGGCTCATTTTTATTTACTGCTGGCATTGGTGTACCTTTGAAGCAGAAGAGGAAGTAGTCAGTGGTTTTTTGGATATACGCATGCATCGGAATTCCACGTGCTCTTCATTTGAGATGTTCTTGCGTGCGCTTTGAGCGTGTACTTGCAGAATTCCCAGGGAGTTTTTCCCCACCGATTCCCTCCCTCTTTCCACTGTTTATTCAGTGTGACGAATGCCTGTCTCCCTTCTTTGTATGGGTGCTCATGACTGCATTGCCATGATTTGCCAGCCATAGGAAAAGTCTCCATCTAGGAGCTAGCCACCAACAGTGGAGGCTCCAGGATGTTTGAGGCACTCAACCTCCACTTAGGCCCTGTTTACAAGCAGGTAGAGTAGCCCTAGTGCTAGGGTTACCCTGGTAGGAGGGTTACCCTAATGCTCCCACATTTCTTCTTTTTTTCATTGATGTGTTTACAAGGCAGCTAGGGTTACCCTAGCTGTCTTGTAAATGCTCTCGTGGGGATAACTCGCCTACCCGGGACAACTTTTTACTTGTTTCCAGAGCCTTTGAACATTGATAACAACGTGTGCGGTTACCAAGCATAGGTAAGATGTCCCGGGTGGTAGGGTAACCCTATGTGTGAAATTTTGCTTGTAAACCCGGGCTATTTTTGACCCGCCTGCTAGGGTAACCCCAGCACTAGGGTTACCCTACCTGCTTGTAAACAGGGCCTTGGCGATGCAGTTGTTAACTTACCTTATCATGTAAGCTCCACACAGTGTATTTCAGAAACTTGTCACTCAGGAAGTAGGAGCTAAAAAGAAAACAGAAATTACAGTTACAGCAATAATGGTCAATAAAAATTTTTTTATTGTGTAGAAAAATTCCTTTCTGTGAAACTTGTAAAATGCACACCTGTATTCCTTCATCCAATGGCCCATTTCAGCAATGCAAAGAGCTCTGATTTCATGTCTGGAATCCCTGAAATTACATGGAAATTAAATGCAAGTCTGATAAAACAGAGTGAAAATAAGTCTAACAGCTGGTCACAAAAAAAAACAAAAAGACCAGAAATGTTACATTCGGCTGGTTAAAAATTCGAAGCAAAACCCTAAAATTCAAATTAAGGAGAACAGTCTAAAATAACAGACATAAAACAGCAAAGATTACTTATAGAGTTCCACCTTCTTCATCAGTCATCAACTCAAGAGGCCCCTGCACTTTATTTCAATCTCTAGATACCTATAGCATATGCAGTAGTTACATGTACCTGTATCTGTGAACAAACATTCCTTGGTGCACAAAATTCATCATGTCTTCCAAGTCACTGACATTCTGTCTTAGCTATAAGGAAAGAAAATAAGAAACAGTCTTATATTTAGCCTACATTTACAAGTAATTGTGTGCATAGCAATCCTGTTTAAACCCTTCAAAACATAGCATACATGTGAAAGGGCTCTGTAAAGAAAGATATTTCTGCTTACCTCTTGTCTTCTGTTGTTCAACATTTCAATTTTTTCCATGGCTTTCTTTGAAGAAACTTTGCTACTTTCACTGTCTAACTGGCGCTACAAAAGTGATTTGAAGAGATCTATTTTAGCAAAAGAGACATTCCCCATTTCAAAAAAGAGTGGGGGAGTGGGTCGAGGATGCCGCGAAAGTTTGTCTGGGATCGTTACTCTGGACACAAATCTGTAGTAAACAAAGAATTGCATCCCGAGTAACGATCCCAGACAACCTTGCGCGGCGAACTCGACCACTCCCCCACTCATTTTTGAAATTGGAAATTGTCCAATAACAAAAAATTCCTAATAGCAGATTTTATGAAGATGCCAATGATTTGTAGAATATGTTAACACTGTGGCTGCAAGAGGCAGGAATTGAATTTTTCTCATTTATAACATCTATTTGAACAGTAACACTGTATGTCATACCTGGGTGTTATCCAGTTCTACATGAACACGCTTTGCTACTTGTATCAAGGCAGAAACAAGTTTCATTCCTGAAAGTAAATAAGGAGTCAATGAAAAGTAAAGTACAGTAAAAATAGTTAAGTTGATGAAACAGACTTCATTAATTGTATACTACATGTATAGTCACTGCTGGTCTACCTCTCGAAAAAAAATGTATGTATGTTGTAAACAATAAACCAGGCAAAAATGAAAATCGTCACAACTCCAAAGATTAGTACAAGACTTAAAAATGAGTCCTCACCGGCTAAAGTGCTTGTGTGCCTAAAGGCCCGGACTTGTGAATCTGACAATCTGATTAGCCAAGAAACCAGAGTATCCAACATGTACTCATCATAGATTATACTGTGTTGGCATTGCTGAACCAACGAATCTACAAACTCTACAAAGTTCGTCTATAAAAATGAAAACAAAACAAACAAACAAAGTCTTGGTTAAGATCTACGTGAGTTACTGTACACTCAGATGAAAAGTGGTGTCTAAGCAATTGTGTACCCACCCCTCCATGCCTCAACATTAAACCCTAACTTGTTAGCAGCTGACTATTGTTGGGTTAAGGGGGGAGGGGTACATGTACAATTGCTCAGATACTGCTCTGTGTCAGATAAAGGAAAAAAATGAATTACACAATACTTACTCTGAATTTTTTGTACGCTGGGCCCGTCATAATGAGTGGGTATTCATGGCTGGCCTAACGAAGAGGAAAAACAACAATTATAGCTCCACTGTTTGATAGAGTTGACAGAGTTCAGACGTCAAAATTCTACGCAGTTAAACAAACCTCGTCAAACTGCTCAGTCAGTTGACGGATCGCATTGACACTTTCTTCCTCCTCCAACATTTTAGGAGTGACAGTTCCTGAAAAGACAGTTACAACAAGAACATGTTGACAACCAAAATCACCAATTAGGAAACATGTGAGGGACTACATACATGAAAAGGTACAATCATCCTTCTGTCAATTACAGACCCAAGCCAATAGGTGTGCAACATGATACAAATAATGTTAGGTTGAAGCTAAGAAATTATGCTGCTGGCTGAAATTTCAAGCGAGGTGGCCAAAAAGGTGGTGAACAATTGTAAGTGTGTAACTCATTAGGGCCTGTTGTGCTTTACCAAGCTATAGCCGGCCAAAAATTTCACCTGCAGCCGGCCCTTTGCAACAACCTTGATCATGTAATCTAATTGACAACCTCAGAAAGCACACTAGACTAGCCTTTCCCACTCAGTTGTCCGCGAAAAAAAAAAAAAAAAAAGAAAGAAAGAAAAAATTCTCAGGGCTCTACTCCTCTACTCTACAAAAGGTTGGGTTCTACAGATGGCTAACTCTTGTCTTTTGTGAAGCTTTGTTATAATGAAGATTGAAAGAACTGCGCACTTCAGATTTCAAAGACAAGCATCTCCAGTATCTGGTGATTCTTCCAAGTACATACAACTAGCTTCATCACTTGAATAAAGGGGATAAATTCTTCGAAAAAAAAAAAAAAAAACTCTCAGACTGGTGCTGTGTCAATGGAGGGTATGACAAGATAATAATTTGGTTTTAATCAAATGAGTTGACAATGTAAAAAGACCACCACTACAAGTTTCTGATCATATGCATTAGCCCTTTCTCCTTCCTTCCCTAAAAAAAGCTACATGATGAACTCTTTAATACTGGACTGTAGGACTTCCTTCATAAACTTTCACCCAACAATACACTGCATAAATTACAATTCTGCAAACTTTAATTTGACTTTAATTTGTTAAACCTCATTAACCACTAATTGTAATCTTGACAAACCTTTGCAGCCGCAACACTGGACAAAAAAGTGAATGAGATCAACCATTCCGTTTTCTTTGTCTGCAGTGTAACTCTCAATCCAGTCATCCACAACAGCCTATGAATTTTATGTACAATAAAGTTACCTAAACAAATCATCTAGCGTAGATGAGAAACTGCTGAAGGTTCACTTGGAAAATGTTTTGGGAGGGGGTTGACAGTTCTGGAGAGCCAGTCCAGAAAGGGATTTTGAATGGTTTCTTTTACTCATATCTCTGTATCAGTAGAAATCAGAATGTTCTTTAGTTTTTTAACCAGTTTTACACTCTAAAAATGACACAACAATGACACTGTACTGATTAGCTTTGTTCTCCCATGAAAGCCTACAATATATCACAGCCAAAACAACAGCAACAATTTTATTTCCCACTAATTCAAGATCCTGCAAATAGCTCCATGTACCAGGATAGCCCATGGTTAGTTAGTCCTCTTCACTGGTCTATAGATACACATAAGACCTTAGCCAGAGAACACTCTAAAAGACCCAATGTATTAAAAATAACTAAAGTAAAGTCTGTTTACCGGCGGAGTGACCCATCAGGCCAGCCCTTAACTCAGTTTCCTTAGCGTAAAGTGACTAGGAGTATTTCTACTCCCCCCTGGATGGGATGCCAGTCCATCACAAGGTTACCCCCCTTCCCAGCATTAAGTTCACCAGTACCAATTTAAACACGTGGGTGAAGAGAAGCACTGTGAGAGTGAAGTGTCTTGCATAATAACACAACACGATGTCCCCCATCAGGGCTTGAACTTGGACCACTTGGTCAGAGTCTAACACTCTAACCATGAGGCCATTGTGCCTTCTACCCAAAAGGAACTACATTGTTTTAAAAAAGTTTAGAAGTCATATAAATCATAATTCTTACCCTGAGAGCACCTTTTCCAGCTTTCACTATATCAAACAATGTCCCCTGGTTCTCATCAGTCTCAGCATCAGCACTGCCTTTAGATTTCCTTGATTTCCTCTGAGATGACTTCCGAACAGAGGGCTGTTTTGATTTTGCTTTTTTTGCTACCTACAAAAATAAAATTACCTCCATTTACACCTTTGGGTATTCACAAGAATGATGAAAACAAACACACAAACAAAACCACAAATAATCTGAGTAACTGAAAAAAACATCTCAGTCAACTGTACTGGTGTAGCTTTGGAAGTTTCTGCCGCACGTTTTCTTCCTCGTCCTGTGGTAGGCGCCTGAACAGGTGTTTCCAAGTCACTGTCGTCACTTGATTTATTTACTGATGACTGTTCCCTGAAAGACACAATGGATAAAAAAAATTAAGATCAGTTTTTTTCTGAACAGGGTTTGTACACTTTTTGAGGCCAAAGATTTGAGGACTTTTCAAGGACTTTCCAGGACCCTACTTAGAAATTTCAAGGACAA